CTGGCTCAATTGGTAGAGAACGTGAGGGCTGATCTCGGAGTTCCGACTTTGAGCTCCATGGTGGGCATAGAGATTACTTAAAAAACCAAACCAAACAAAAATAATCAAGTTATCAAAAATAAATCCAAAATTAGCTATCATTTGTGACCCTAAAAGTACTGTTCAAAATACAGTCTGTCAATTTAAAAACATTATTAAAAATGTTTTTAGGGGTAGCTGGGTGGCTCAGTGGGTTAAGCCTCTGCCTTCGGCTCAGCTCATGATCCCAGGGTCGTGGGATCGAGCCCCACATCAGGCGCTCTGTTCCTCAGAGAGCCTACTTCCTCCTCTCTCTCTCTGCCTGCCTCTCTGCCTACTTGTGATCTCTGTTTGTCAAATAAATAAATAAAATCTTTAAAAAAAATAAAAATAAAGGAGTGCCTGTTGGCTCAGTGGGTTAAGCCTCTGCTTTTGGCTCAGTCATGATCTCAGGGTCCTGGGATCGAGGCCTGTGTCGGGCTCTCTGCTGAGCGGGGAGCCTGCTTCCCTCTCTCCTCCTCAGCCTGCCTCTCTGCCTACTTGTGACCTCTCTCTCTCTGTCAAATAAATAAATAAAATCTTAAAAAAAATTAATTTAAAAACATGAAAAATAAAGTGTTACGCAAAAAAACCCTCGAAAACATGTCTACACAGCCACCTCTAAAAAGCATGTAAGTTGGCTAAAAAGAAAAACTCAACAAGATAAAATAACTAGGTAGGAAATATTTAGATGGAATCCTAAATCCTATAATAGATCCAAAGACATTTCTGCACATATAGAGAACATGGGCAACATATACAGAGAAATTGGGTAACACCCAAGACACGTGGGAAAGATTTGAGAAATTCTGTTGTTGACCACCGGCCCCCACCCGCCTGCTGTTTCCAATAATTACTAGGACCATGAAGCTGTGCAAAATGTGTCCAAATGCAGTCCTGGCCTCTGGAAGGAACGGGAGCACTCCTTGTGGGCTAGATAATGGGGGGCGTTTTTTGTTCATTCCATCACCAAAGCTTCCTAAGGGTCTGCTTTCTGGTAGTCTTTGCTCATGGCCCTGGGGATAGAGATGCCCCACATTCTTGTCTTCCAGTGCGGAAACAGACAAGTAAGCAATGGTGGCAGCAGAGGGCACATGTGCGTGGGAGTCTCAGTGGGTTCAACGAGCCCGTGGAGGAAGTGGGGGACATTTGAGTCACCCTTCAAATAAGGAGTTGTTCGATGGAAATCATAGAAGGCATCTGGGATTTCCTGGCAGTGGGAGCAGCAAAGACGTGAGGACAGGAGACTGAGCACAGAGTCAGGAGAAATGACAGTGGGTTGGAGGGGTGAGAATGAGAAACAGGCTGGAAAATGAGGGAAAACTGGTAAAAGGTCTCCCTGGAACCTGGCGCCATGGGGTATCTGTGACAAGGGAACCCCAGGACACTTCCTCTGCTGGGAATGGCTGGAATGCCCAGAGTCCTCACTCACTGCTTGGTGTGCTAACCCTTGTTTCTCATCTATAAAACAGTAATATTTTTCTTCCTTCCAGTAAGGATGAAATGACATACATGAATAGCATATGGGGCCCAGTGAATTTGCGTTTCTCCCTGCTTTGCTGTCCCCCAACCCCATCATGAATTGTTCCCAGAAGGGCTCAGAGTCTGGACATGGTCCCAAGGTTTAGAAGGAGCCGCTGACTCTGGGGACAGAAATCAGGGCATGAAGTGTTCCTTGGCCTTCTCCTTGAACCTGGTAGAGCAGAGAGAGGCCCCAGGGCTGGAGAAGCTCCTCCCAGGCTTGCCTGCCATTGCCAGCTCAGCAGGCTAGACACAGCTGATGGCCCTGACTTCCCTGACACAGGGTGCTGTAGTTCCCCTCACCTGGCTTCCAGGTGCTTCCCACAGAGCCTCCCAGGCCCTGAGCCGTGACCTGCCACCTGCTGATTGCTCCTATCCCACTTAGGCTTCTGGCTCTGGTGCCTCCAGGAAGTGAGTGAGGGCTGAGCTGAGGGGCTCTAAGTGAGAAGCAGGGAGAGGACTATGCTGCAGCCCCAACATCCCCCACCCCCGAGGGTCTGCTGTCCTTGTGCCCTGGGAGGTTTCCGGGGGGGGGCGGGTGCTCACCTGTGTTGAGGAGCGTGGAGCACTGTCCAGGGTCTAGAGCCCTAGAGTCTCGCCCTGACTGGGCAAGCCTCTCTGGAGCCTTTGGGGGCCACTCCCCCACCCGCCCCACCCACAACCAGACTCACCCAGAGAATCCATCAATCCATCGTGTGTTCATTCAACAGATACTAAGTGCTTACTCTAATTAAAGCCCTAAGGATACAGAAGTGAGCAAACAGACCTGCTATCCTGGTTAAATAACCATCTTATAAGTAACAAGACTCTTAACACTATGAACAGTGAGAGGCAGGAAGATGCCAGGAGGAAACGGGGAGGGCTTCCCGGAGGAGGAGGCCAGCCTCAGCAGGAGAGCCAGAGAAGAGCAGAAGTGAGCCTGCAGGCTGTGTGGGTAATGGATGTTCCTGGATGTTCCTCCAGGTCAAGAGCCTAGCCATCCCTGCTAGAGCTCGGCCCCCACTGTCACCCCAGGTACTTCCCCTCTGTCTTCTCTCCTTCCCTTGTCCTGACCAGCAGGGGAACTATACACCCAGAAGATACCAGGCCCAGGGGCCCAGACCCCCAGCATCCTCACTTCCTCAGCCCATGTCTGGGGGGAGAAGCTCTGAGTGTGCAGTGCCCAGGAGTCTGACCAGGGTCTGGGGAGGAGGAATCAAGGGCAGGGGGCCTGAGGCTGTGGAGGGGCCTGGGCAGTGGTGGGGAAGAGGTGCTGCAGAGGGAGGAGGGGTTCCGGGAGGGAGCCCTGTAAAAGAGGAGCAGGAGTGTGGCTGGTGAGGCAGCTCCCCTGTCCTGCCCAAGGCACTCCCACCTAGTCTGATGCAGAAAGTGGTCCTGGTGTCCGGCCCCGCCCTGATCCCTGGCACTGACCTGACCCTCAGGGGGCTCTTGCCATGGGGTAGCCGGTCCTAGGTTCATTTTCCAGGATCAGGCCAGGCGAGGTGGCCTGAGCAGGGGGTGCCCCGAGGCGGGGGTCAGAGTGACTGTGCTTGGCCTCAAGTTCATGGCTGTGGTGGGTCACAAGCCCCTTCCTGTCCTCTCTCTGGTCCAGCAGGGGTCAGAGGGTGAGTACTGGGAGGGAAGGAAGAGGTCTAGGGTTTCTGTTCTGCCGACCTCTCCGGTTAGAGCAGCAGCACAGTGGGGAGGAGAACGAGGCAGAAGGACACCACTGGAGAGGGACCCGCGGGGTCTCCTGGGCAGCTATGGGCTTATCAGCCAGGAAAAAATGTTCATTTGTGGGGTGACCAGGGGTCTGAGCGTTGCCTTCTCCATCTATCAAATGAAGTCGCCATCCGTATGCCTCTCCTGTGGGGTCACTGATCCCATGGGTGAGGGCTGGCTGGAAGAAGGTAGGGGTATGTGGACTGACACTGCCCCCTGGTGGCTGTGTCTAGAGTTGCTTTGCCCAGTGCCGGGACTTAGAGGGTCCCCTTCAATTCTGTCTTCTCCGCTCCACTTTCTTCTTCATCACCCTAAACTTCCCAGGGTCCTCCGCGCTGCTTTCTCATGAGCAGGAATAACTCAATTCAGCAAACATCCATTCAGCAGGAGTGGAATGGGCCCCTATTGTATGTCCTGTTCTGGGGAGTTTTGTAGGGGCAGGTGATAAAAAATATTAAATGTTAAGAAATTAGATACTGGTGTTGGTTGCACAACTCGGTGAATATACCGAAAACCACAGATTGGGCACTTTAATTTTTATTTTATTTTGAAGATTTATTTATTTATTTATTTCAGAGCAGGGGTGAAGAGGGCAGAGGGAGAGAGAGAATCCCAAGCAGACTCCTTGCTGAGTACAGAGCCTGACCTGGGGCTAGATCCCAGGAGCCTGTGATCATCACCCAAACTGAAACCAAGAGGATGTTCCACCAACTGAGCCACCCAGGAGCCCCTGTGATTTTATTTTATTTTTTTTAAAGATTTTATTTATTTATTTGATAGAGAGAGATCACAAGTAGGCAGAGAGGCAGGCAGAGAGAGAGTGGGAAGCAGGCTCCCTGCTGAGCAGAGAGCCTGATGCTGGGCTCGATCCCAGGACCCTGAGATCATGACCTGAGCTGAAGGCAGAGGCTTAACCCACTGAGCCACCCAGGCATCCCTGTGATTTTATTTTTAAGTAATCTCTACACCCAACGCGGGGCTCAAGCTTACAACCCCCAAGATCAAGAGTCCTATGCTCCACTGGCTGGGCCAGCCAGGCGCCCCTGGACATTTTTAGGGGCTCCTGGGTGGTTCAGCAGGTTAAGTGTCTGACTCTTGGTTTGGGCTCAGGTCATGATCTCTATTGGGAGATGGAGCCCCAAGTTAGGCTCCCTGCTCGGTGGGGAATCTGGTTCTCCCCTCCCTCTGCCCTTCTCCCACCTTGTGCACTTCTCTCTCTGAAATGAATAAATGGTCTTTTAAAAAAGCTGTTTTGTTTCCTGGCGATTCACAGACCTGTACCCCTGGGGCTAGTAATACATTATATGTTAATAAAAAATAAAAAATTTAAATTAAAAAAAAATGAAATAAAAATAAATTTTTAGGGGCGCTTGGGTGGCTCAGTGGGTTAAAGCTTCTGCCTTCGGCTTGGGTCGTGTTCCCAGGGTCCTGGGATCGAGCCCCATATCGGGGCTGCTTCCCGCCCCCCCGCCACCATCACTGCCTCTCTGCCTACTTGTGATCTCTCTGTCAAATGAATAAATAAAATCTTTAAAAAAAATAAATTTTTAAAAAAGCTGTTTTGTTTCAAGAACAAGAGCAATAGGGTCGTTATGGTCTAAATGTCTGTGTGCCCTTGCAATTCATGTTGAAATGCTAACCTCCAGTTTGATGGTGTTAGGAGGCGGGGCCTTGGGGAAGTGACTAGATCCTGAGGTGGGAACCCCCATGAGTGGGAACTGATGGCCCTTGTAGAAGAGCCCCCAGGAGCTCCCTCAGCCCTTCTGCCATGGGACAACCACCGGCAGAAGACAAGACAGCAGTCCATGGACCGGGAGTGGGAGGTATCACCAGGCACCACATCTGTGGGCACCTTGGTCTTCCAGCCTCCAGAGCTCCGAGAAACAGTTTATAAACCAGTCTATGGTATCTCGTTAAGACCGTCCAAGCCAACCAAGACACTGCCTACTGTCTCTACTCTCAGCCGCAGTCGTGTCTCTCTCATTAAACTTAAGATGACATCTCTCTGATGACAAGCCATCCACTCCCTCAGGCGAGGTCTGGTCCATGGGGCCTGCTTCTCCCTTTTTTTTTTTTTTTTTAAGATTTTATTTATTTACTTGACAGACAGAGATCACAAGTAGGCAGAGAGGCAGGCAGAGAGAGAGAGGGGGAAGCAGGCTCCCTGCTGAGCAGAGATCATGACCTGAGTCAAAGGCAGAGGCTTTAACCCACTGAGCCACCCACACACTTCTGCTGCTCCCTTTCTGACCCTCCCTGCAGTCCTCTCTGCTCATTTCAGCCCCTCTGACCTCCCTCTCCTACCTTAAGCTTTCACTTTTGCTGTTGTCTCTCACTCTCTTTGGGTGGCTGTCCTCCCCTGTTCCCTCCCTCGTTCAGCTTTGGACTGAAGTGATTCTTTAACCTAATGTTTAACTTGCAACCCAGCGCCCACCCATGACTCCCAGGCACCCCCTCCTGTTGTCTTTTCCTCCACAGTACTCGTCCCAGCTAAAATATGATGTGATTTGCTTCTTTGTGTAGTGTCTATAGCTCCCTGCTGTATGCGGGCCCTGGGAGGGCAAAGACCTTTGTGTGTTTTGACCACTGATGTCCCCAACCAGTACTAAGGGCAGTTGTGGAAAGCCTAGGAGGAGGAGGTTGTGGAGTTTGGATGCCTCCTCTTCTTATCCCAAGCCTTTGGCCTGACACCCCCCGCCCCCTTAATAGTCTGGAAGAAGTATTGGAGTCTGGCTGGGAGGAGGGGAGGAAAAGAGGGAGTCGGGGCGGTGGTAGAAGGTTGGGCGGGGACCCATTTCTTACTTCCTTGCCAAGACAGGTTTGGAGGTGGAGCCAATATATATATTTTTAAAGATTTTATTTATTTATTTTACAGAGATCGCAACTATGCAGAGAGGCAGGCAGAGAAGAGGAAACAGGTTCCTTGCTGAGCAGAGAGCCCAGTGCGGGGCTTGATCCCAGGACCCTGGGATCATGACCTGAGCCAAAGGCAGAGGCTTTAACTCACTGAGCCACCCAGGCGCCCCCAATATATATATTTTTAAAAGATTTTTATTAATTTGACGGAGAGATACAGCAAGAGAGGGAACACAAGCAGGGGAAGTGAGAGACGGAGAAGCAGGCTTCCCGCTGAGCAGGGACTCCCAACGTGGGACTCAATCCTGGGACCCTGGGATCATGACCCAAGCCAAAGGCAGATCCCTAACAACTGAGCCACGCAGGCACCCCCGGAGGCAATATTTTAGAAATAACATAACTAATGAAGACTGCCCCTCTGATAAACAGGCAGAGAATTCCCTGGGTGGCTGTTGGGGGTGCAGAGGATCTGGTGCGAGGGAGGTGAACAGGCACCAGGGTTCACTCAGCAATCAGGAATGATAAACACTGGCTCCTGAGGAGAGAGGCTGCCATTTCAGGGGGACAGGTATGAGCTGGCTGGGAAGGCTGGGAGTGTGGCCTGAGATGCAAACTAGGAAGCCATTAATGATTTCTCCTCCCCCCTCTCACCCAGACCACCCTGTCAGATGGGTACTTTCCATTTTTCTCATAGTTCCTTATTTGTTTGTTTAAAAAAAAAAATTCACCATGTTCTGTAATTGTCTTAATAGTTTTCTCAGTTATTTGCTTCCCTTTCTAGATCCTGAACTCCAGGAGAACAGGGATCTAGTTTCTCTTACTCTTTGCTGAGAGTCTAGTTTGAGAGTCTAGTACAGTGCCTGATGTATTAGGGACTCAATAAATATTTGTCAAATGAATGAATGGACCCAGATGGAAGGAAACATTTTTTTTTAAATTAAAGATTTTATTTATTTATTTGACAGAGATCACAAGTAGGCAGAGAGGCAGGCAGAGAGAGGTGGGGGAGAATCAGGCTCCCTGCCAAGCAAAGAGCCAGATATGGGGCTTGATCCCAAGACCTGGAGATCATGACCTGAGCCGAAGGCAGAGGCCCAAACCACTGAGTCACCCAGGCGTCCTGGAAGGAAACATTCTTATCACAATGCTTCTGCATGGGAAAGCTGGTGGACAGGGCATTCTCATCCTCGTTCCTGGGTTGTGTCTCTTGTTCCATGCTGTGTCACAGACGCCCGACTCCCAAGGCACATTGTCAGCACTAGAAGTCTCTGTCCCAGCTGCAGTCCTTGGGCAGCAGCCCCGGTTCTAGGTTCAGGCTTAGCTTGGTGGCTGTGGGGAAGGGGTTCCTGGAATTCCTTCAAGATGGATTCATGTGGAGGGGGCTGGGGGGTTATCACAAAAATCTAGAAGGGAAAATGAAGCCTGAACAGTAGAAGGACTGAAGAGGAGACTGAACAAATATTGAGAAATATTTAGGCGGTAAATCAAGCGGGACAGGTGATTGGTTGTCGAAGGGAAGAAAATTGGGGCACCAAGAATGATTCTAAGGTTGTTTTTTTTTTTAAAGATTTTATTTATTTATTGGACAGACAGAGATCACAAGTAGGCAGAGAGGCAGGCAGAGAGAGAGAGGGGGAAGCAGGCTCCCCGATGAGCAGAGCCCGATATGGGGCTCAATCCCAGGAGGCTGGGATAATGACCTGAGTCAAAGGCCCACTGAGCCACCCAGGTGCACCAATTCTAAGGCTTTAAAAGAATTAGTTCCACAACCATCTCTTTCTGGCCGGCAGATTCTTCCAGTCTAAAGGGACAGAAATGGCCACCGGACTCCTCTGCCGCCCCATCCAACTCATTCAGGACTTCGGGTGACTCTCGTAGGTAGCCCCTCCCGGGGCACACTCTGAGGGACTCGATCCCTGCGCTGTAGGGGCACAGGTCTGGTCTTGGAGACAGACACACTCTGAGCACTGCCTGCCACTGGGTAAGGGATGCTCTGGGGGGACGCGGGACGAGGTCCGAGGAGTCGTCACTTGGAGAGCCTCTAAGTGCACTCTCCAGGAAGAACAGGTGTCTGCCAGGGTGGAAGGAGGTGGGCAAAGCGAATGAGGGCTGGAGGTAAAGCACCAGAAAGGTAATAAGAAGTAAAGTATAAGAAAGAGGGTTGTCCAGCAGCTGGAGCACTGGGGTGTGAGCGCAGGGATCACAGTGTGACGCGCTACACTGGGCAGGGCCTGGAAACCATACTGGAGTTTGGATTCATCTCCCGGCTACGGGGAAAGCACAATACGGCCCTAAACTCCCAGGTCATATCCGGGGTGGGCAGCCGGCAACCACAGCGGGAGTGGAGGGAGGGGGTGTCCCCAGCTAGGGACTTTGAAATCACCATACCCGAATTCCAGGGAAGCTGCGACTTGGGGCAGAACCATTCTCGGGAGGTGGAGAGGAGAGGAGAAGCCCTGCACTCGTAACCAGAGCCCATGGAACCGGCTGGGATGGCCACTCGACTCTTCGCCTTATTCTGGTTTTTGCGCGCTGCCTCGCCACCAAGAGCTTCCCTTGTGCGCGACCCCCAGTCCCGGACCCACGGGTTGCTTCCGGCCGCCCACTCCCGCGCGTTGTACCGCTCGGCGGGCGCCCACTCCGGGCGCTGGTTATCCAGGCCTGGCTGCCGCAGCGGGTTGAGGCGCTGCGTCCTAAGGGATCGGGGCCCCGGTACGCAAGACACGGTTCAGACAGGGGTATCTGGCGGGAATCACCCTCGCATCCCCGCCGTTAGCGCATCTCACTCCAGAGCCTTCTGCGCAGGCTACCCGCGGCCGGACAGGGGGCAGGATCCGGATCACCATCCGTCTCGGGACGTCCAGCCCCAGCTCGCCTGACCTCCAAGGCTGGATCAGGGGCCGAAACCCCACGCGCGTCCGCATTCTCAGCCGCCCGGGGGAATGCCCAGTACGTGCCCAGCAACTCGGACGCGCCACGGACCCGCTTCATATTCCAGGGACCCTTGGGTCCCCGGCCACTGGCCTGGGGACTGGAAAGGCGCCGGGCATCTGGAAGACGCCGGCAGCCTACATCGGGCGCTCCGCCTTTATTCGGGATCTGGAGGAAGGTAAACCCGGTCCTTGGAACCCCAGAGCGGGTGGGACGCAGGCATTTCAGTGGAGAGTGGGGCCGCGTCGGTTCCAGGCGCCCCGGCCCTTCTGGCATTCAGTCTTATCGCTCTATCCATTTGTGACGTCACAGTCTGCGGAGCCTGTTCGGTCGCCTCTTCTCTATCTCCTCCTCACTTCTGTCGTCTGCAGATAGTTGACGGGGTTCAGGTCTAGGGGCTCTGCGCGCCTGTTGCTCTGCAGATCTGCGCACTCTCAGGGCACCCCTCCCCCCAGGCTACCGCAGTGCCAGGAGAAGGGCGGGTGCTACGGAAGGACGCTGCCGCGCGCCGGCTGGGGAGGTGGGTGGGCGGAGTGGGAGGTTTTGTCAACCTCCTGGCTGCGGGGGGTCAAAGCCGTGCTTTCCCAAGCCTAGGGATGGGCGGGGCCTCAGGTTTCTTCCCCTCGTAGCCTCTCCTGGGTGACTGGAGATCCCTGGATTGAGTCTAAAGGCTCAGGGCCCCCTTACTGCAGTGCTGGAAAAGTTTCTTTCTTCTTTTCATACGCAACAGGTGCAGGGCGGGTGTATGTGTCTGTTTTCTGACGCACGCAGGAGGCTCCAGTGAGTCGGCCAAGGCTGCCCTCTGGGTAAGGAGGAATGAGCCAGTCTGTGGCTGTACTTCCACTAGCCGCCTGCATTCTCCTAGGTGCCAGGGACCCAGGTGGCCGAGAAGAAGTTCTACCTGAGCTTGGAAGACTGGGATCCTTCACCTTGCCCAGGCCCCTCCAGAACAAGAGTCCAGCTGGTCCTGGGAAGGGAGTGCTGAGTACTGGGGGGGTGGTGTGGTGTGGTGTGGAGAGGATATTGGGGGCAGGAAGGGAGCTCAGTCTTCTCCTCCCTTGTTGCTGACTCTTGTTTTTGAGGGAGCATTTGGGGATCCGACAGGAAACAGTGGGATGTGGGGTGGGATATGCCCCCCTTTTCCTGACACAGCTGCACCCCCTGCTTTTGCATCCCTGTGTCCTGACCGGCCCCCACGAGTCAAGATCACCCAAGAAGCTGTCAGGTTGATGTTGAATCTGCTAGAGGACGTGGGTATTGCCTTCCCACTGGGGCCAGCCTGGTCTTAGCCAGGCCTCCTTTTTAAATCTGCCCGGAGGGGTAGGAGTCCTGTTTGTTCCCTGCTTCACTGTTTTTCTGGGGGCCAAGTTGGGGGGTCCCTCTTATGAGGTCCAGGCTGGAATTGCTCTTAGAACCATCTTTTCCATAAGGGGACATGGAGTCAGGCCCCACAGTGGGTTGATGGCAGGTTATTTCCTAGTACCCTGGAAAACTAGGGTGTGGAAAGGTTTCCCTTAGTGGGCTGGCTTCCCTTTGACCCCTAGGTACTCCCTAGCTTCTCCCATCTGTCTGGGAGATCCCAGAAAACAAGAAAGTATTCCCCATGGTTGTGGGTCTCTCTGTAGAGAGAGCGGGACCTAAATACGGCGCCTCGCATTGGCCAGTCCCTGGCGAAACAGAACCGTGCTCTGATGGAGGAGAACAGCAAGCTGGAAGCCATGCTGGGCTCAGCCAGGGAGGAGGTAGCTTGGCAGGGAGGAGGGGCACGGGGGGTGCCATCTCAGACCTTCCCGCGTCCCAGTTGTGCCAGGACCTGTGCTTGCCTCTGCCTGCTTTCCAACACGGATCCTCTCCCCCACTGGCAGAGTTTACATCTCAGACGCCAGCTGTGCTTGCGAGGTGATTTCCTCCAGCTCTACTCCGACTCTGATGAGGAGGAAGAGGAGGATGAAGAGGAAGAAGAGGAGGAGGAGGAGGAAGATGAGGCAGAGGCAGAGGAAGAAGAGGCAGAGCAGCAGCACCATCATCCCTATGGAGCCCGTGGGTTTTGAGTGTCCTGCCTTTTCTCTGGGGCAGTCCCTTCTCTGTGCCTCAGTTTCCCTATCTGCAAACAGAGACACACATGGTGCACCTGCCAGCAGGGTTGCTGGGGCTAAATGAGACCACCCCGCTGAGCCTGGGGGATGGGGGGCAGACCCTGGGGGTGCTGGGCCCTGGGTCCCCCAGCCCTGGGCCCTGACTCCCCTTGCTCTTGGCCGCTAGGACTTCCGTGCAGGAGGTTGAGTCGCTGCACTACTGCCCCCAGCTGGAAACCCTGCAGGAGCAGCTGAGACGGCTGGAGGAGGAGAACCAGCCCTTGAGAGAGGAGGTGAAGCTGCGGCAAGAGGGCAAACCCTCTGGGGGGGCTGTTGACTCCCCCGCTTTCCCTCCAGACCTCTCAACTCGATGCCCTTGAGGAGGAGGAGCAGGTGCTCATCCTGGATTTTGTGGAGCAGTTTTGTATGTGAGGTTGTAACTTGGGGGTGGAGGGCTGTCCTAAGGAGCTGAAGGAAGAACTCAGGGATCATAGACTGGAATCCCAGCTCTCCGGCACTTCCTAGCTGTGGGAGCTTGGTCAAGTTCCTGACGTCTCTGAAACTTTAGAAAGAGGAGGAATTACCTCAGTCCTGCAGACCTCTCCAGAGGCAAAGCTGAGGATGTGCTTTGCGCACACTGTAAAGAGCTGTGCAGAAGCCACGGGACCCCTCTAAGCCTGTTTCCTTTTGTCATTTGGGACACGGGAAGGAGGGGCCTGGAAGCAAGGAAGAGAAGGAGCCCTGAGCTGCCAGACACCAGGCGGGGCACCGGATCTGGGGCAGGGGCCAGTGCAGGTACCTGTGTTTATGAAGATGAGGCAGGCACGGCATTTGTCCCCGAGAAGCTCAAGTCGAGCTGTGAGATACACGTGCAAGATGGCAGGGGCTGAGCTCCCGCGGCCTCCCTTCCCGCAGGCCTGACCTTCCTTCCCTCTGGGTCCCCCAGCTACCCCAATGGCCAGGCCCATAGGAGCTGGTCCCCAAGTTCGGTTGCTTCCACCTCCTAAGGAAGGCTCAAGTCTCTTTCGTCCTCCTCACCCCCCTGTCTCTAGTCCAGGCCCAGTCTTAACCCATCTCCCCTCCTGTACTGCTGTCTTTCCAGGTCCTTCTGCACACAGTCCTAATGAATTTTCTAAAACCAAATCTGACCATGTCATCCTCTGCCTAAAACCCCAAGCTTCCCATTGGCCAAAGAGTAACCTCGGCCTCCTACCCCAGCCCCTGGGATCTGGCTAGCCCTCCCTCCCAGGGTTTCGTGATGGGCTCTGGGCCCCTCCACACCCTCTCTGGGCCTTGTCTGCCCTTTTTGGCCTGGCCGAGTGCCACTCACCCTGCAGAGGTCTTAGCTGCACAGACTGCGTAAGGCAAGCCCGGGTGCCGCTGTTGTGACCCCCAGCATGCCCTTTACACACGTTCCACCCTAGCCCAGAGTGGGCCCTGGTGGCATTTCCTTGCTCATTAGCATCCCCACTAGACTTGAGCTCTGCACGTGCTGGGATCGGGTCTCTCAGGCCCCGCACCCAGGGCCTTGCTCCATGTCAGTCAACAGACATTTATTGGGATGAAGACCTAGTGAGAAATGTGGAGTCCTGTGAGCCCCGAGTTCCCTGCCTGAGCTGAGGGGTGGGGTGGACAAGGGCCTCCGGAGGGCCAGACTGGTCCTGAGGCCAGCGTGTGGATGGCCGACCTGTCAGAGGAGCTGGCGCTCATGACCAGCGGCGGAGGGAGGTCACCCAGCTGCGGACCCAGGTCCTGATGCTGCGGTGCTGCTACCAGATGGTGGGTCTGGTTGTGTGTCGGGCTCCCTCCTCCCTGCCTGGCCCCATGGAACCCCAGCTCCCTCCTCCCTGCCCTGGGCTCACAGAGCAGCCAGGCCCCAGGCCCCTCTGTGCGCAGAGTCAGAGTTGGAGGAGACCGGAGAGTGTCTCGTTCTGCCCCCTGGTTGTCCCTGGGAAGGGACCCAAGCCCAGGGAAGGTCACGGGGTGTTCTAGAACGCCTGGCTCTGCTGCTCGATGGGGCCCCATTCCATGTGACCTCTTGCTTCAGAAAGGGCTGCCAAACACTCAGCAGTGTGCCTGGGAAGACTTGCCGGAGCAGGTCGGGAGGCCTCAGGTGGGGCTGGTGTGTCTTGGGTGGAGCTGACTAGTCTCGGTCCTTCCAGTATGGAGCCCAGATGGAGAAGTTGCAGCGGCAGCTGGCTTTGGAGAAGGAAATCCAGATGAGGCTCCAGGATGAGGTGAAGCTCCCCCTGGGTCCTGCCTGGGCCTTTGAGAGCCCCTGGCCCAGAGCCGGGAACCCAAGGCCCTTGGCCAGCTGGCTGGCTGGGGAAGACGAGCAACTTGAGCAGGCTTTGGGTCTGTCCCTTTGTACACTCTTGGTGTCTGGTGTGGGGCCTGGCTGTTCAGCCCTTTCTGAAGCAAGAGGTCACATGGAATGGGGCCTGAGTGGAGCAGAGTCCAAGGACCTGCTCAAGGGCATCCTTCATGTCATTATGTGGGTCTGGAGCCTGGGCCGTGTGTCTGCAGCAGAACCTGCAGGTGGCTTTCCAGCCGCAGGACCTGCAGGGGAGGTACGCAGAGTGTGGGGGCATGCAGACTGAAGCCCAGGAGGAGGTGAGGACCCTTGGCCGGTGAGCCCCCGTGTCCACTGGTCCTGTCACCCGCTACACATACACTGTACCCCTGGTGAGGACCCTCCCCTCCGCCTTCTGCCCTCTGTGTGCTCTCCCCTGCTGGCTGATTTCCATCCCTCATCCCTTTCTGGTCCTGGAAGTGGGGGCTGGGGTTCTGTGGGGATCCCCTGCTCTCCCCTGCAGGAGGCCCTTCCTGGTTTCCAAGAGACCCTGGACAAGGAGCTCAGAATATCTATAAGGAAGATTATCTCAGACTCTGTGTTTTTTATGGAAAGGTGCGCTGCTGCCCTCCCCCCACCCCGCCAGGCCCCTGCCTGATCCACACTCATCTTCCCAGAGTGTGGAGGGGGTTTGCTTTTGCTTTCTTTCACTCTTGGCTCCCCACGTTAGCTGCCTGGCCCCTCTCCCCACCCTTTTCTCTGTCCATGTGTGTGGGCCCGTCATTTCTCCAGGGATTTTTCCATACTGGGACCCCAGGGACTTTGCAGTTTCAGCTCATGTTGTCTTGGGACAGTGATGGCCCTTTTCTCTGTTGAAGGAGTCACGGGATAATCGCAGAGGAGACGTCACACCTGGGGTAAGCTGGCCACGTGCCCCCGTCACCAGCCTCACTTTTAACAGCCAGACAACCACCTGTGACCCTGCCATCCTGGAGAAGGCCTGGCTCTCGGGGCTGGCTGGGCTGAGGTGTTCTGGGAAGGGGATGCCCCCTCTTCCTTCCCACTTGCCCATAGTTGGCCAACTGACTTAGGCTGTTCCACGTGGGGACTGAAGCCTTCCCTTCACCTCACCAGGGACTGAGGGGAGAATGAACACTGGTGTAGGGCTGGGGACGTCTGAGACTTGAGTCCCCGCTTCATTCCTTTATTGACTGTGTGTCCCTGGGCAAATTGCTTGACCTGTCTGAGCCTTATTAAAATGGATCTGTTGGGGTGCCTGGGTGGCTCAGTGTGTTAAGGCCTCTGCCTTCGGCTCAGGTCATGATCCCAGGTCCTGGGATTAAGCATCGGACTTTCTGCTCTGCAGGGAGCCTGCTTCCCCCTCTCTCTCTCTACCTGCCTCTCTGCCTACTTGTAATCTCTGTCTGTCAAATAAATAAATAAAATCTTAAAAAAAAAAAAAAGGATTTCTTCCTATGGCAGTTAGCTGTGGGCTGGGCCACGAAGGTTAAATCAGGGAGAGGAATATTATCCTTGCTCCTCTGGGGTGTGCACAGGGTGGGGGGTACCAGGGGCCTTTGGGGCTTGTGCATGGTGGGTGACCCTTCTCCCTCCTTCTTACCTGGAAGCCTGGATGCTGGTTCGCAGCCCCCCCAACCCACGACAGAAGTGGGGAGGAGCCGTCGGGTCTTGGGGGTAGACTGGGACAGAGAGCAGGGAGCTCCTCAGCCCTGGTGGCCAGGGATGTCCCGCAGGAGCGGATGATGGGGGACCGGGGGCTCTGACTGGGGTAGGCTTTCAGGGGCATGCAAAGACGTTCCTGTCTCCCTGGCCAGGTTCAAGCTGTGCGGCAGTGAGGCGCGAGAGCAGGAACGGGGGTTTGAGGCTGAGAAGAGGTTAATGACAGCCGAGGATTCTGTGCCTTCAGAGGAGCTGGGGGCCACAGAAGAGGGGGTGCCTGCTGTGGACGGGTTGACAGAAGAGGTGGAGCTGGTGTTGGAAGAGGCTGAAGCCTGGGAGGAGGTGGAGCTGGAGCTGGATGACAGCATGGTGACCTCGATGCTAGAGGCCAGCGGCTTGGGCCCTTCTCACCTAAGCATGAAGTATGTCCTCCAGCAGGTGGCTGACTGGTGGGACTCGGGGTACGGGTGGCAACTGAGACAGAAGATGTTCCAGAAAGGTGAGAAGGTGAGAGTGTTCCCACAGGGGTCACTTCCCCCCTGACCCCTCAAGCCCCCCCACCCCACCCCGCAAGCTCGTGGAGTGCTCACTGACTCCAACCTGGCCCCACCCAGCGTGCTTATTTGCATGGGTTTTGCATATCATTTGCATAGACAACAGGGGACTGTGGTCCCAGGGCTCATTTATGTGGAATTTGCCTAAGATTCCAGAGCTCTACCCGCTTTCCTCCTGGGGGGCTGGGCTGGGGGGTCAGTACCAGGACTGCTGCCCTCCATGACACCTCAGCTTCCTGTCTCTGCTGCCCCTGTCCCCAAGGCTCCCCAACCCTACGGCAGTGGCAACAGCAGTCCAAAACAGTGTGGGGGGTGCTATCGCAGAGCAGCAGCTTGGCTACTGACTGACCCTGGACTTCCAGAGACTGGTGGAGTACAGGGCCAACCACCCTCCCAGGGACAAAGAGGGGGGTGTTTTGGGACCACCCAGCCCCTTGGGACAAAGGCCTCTGCCAGCAAAGGTGGTCGGACTGGTCCGCTGGATGAGTCTGAAGATGGGCTAGGGTCTCCTCTCCCCAGCTAGAAACTCCAAGTTTTGGAGAGCTATACCTGCTAAGCGTCAGCTGCCTTCACGAAGGTCACAGAGATGCATTGTTTCCTTTAATTGTCACGCCCGCAGGTAGAGGTGCCCTCCCCCTTTGTTAGGTGAGAACATAGCTAAAGTAACTTGTTGGAGGTCACACAGCTGGAGAGGATCTGAGCCTGTTCTCATCAGTGCTGTGCTGAAATGATTCTCCTAGCCTATCTCTCCCCTCTGACCCTGTCCCAGTGCTTGCCTAGCCTGCTCAGTCAGCTGTGAAATTTAGAGCCTGTTACTAGCCTCACCATCATAAGTGGCCTGCCCCAACTCTGATGGCCTTTTGGTCACTGCTGGGCAGCTTCATCAGGGTCGCCATGGACAGTTGTGCAGTTTGTGTATCGAACAGTGGCCTCCATGGTCGGCCAGTGGGCAGTCGTGACTGTCTTTCTGATATAGTTGACAAGGCCTCAGCCCCTGCCCACCATCCAGGCCCCCCAGTTAACCTCCACTCCCCTTCTCTTCCAGGCTTTGCTGTGTCCCAGCAGCCTGCAGAGGCTTCACAGACAGCCTGAGGCCCATCCTTCAGCTAGCTGTCTGGCCAAGTCCCACCTGCCCCAGAAACAACCTTCCCACCCTCCCAAATGGGACCCTCCTGTGTCAGCGGCGCACCTTCTGTCCTGACGAACCTGGGCTGGGCCTTGAAGACCCAAGCCTGCAGGCTTTCTTGAAATAGGGGACCCTGGCCCGCACTCTGCAGCTGGGCCTGGGATCACGTGCTAGTCAAGGGGGCGGTGGAAGCCCAGGGGGAGGCCAGCCAGTTGCCAGACCCGGCTCTGAGCTGTGTCGGGGGTGAGGCTCGGGCTCTGGTGCAGGAAGGTGTTCTGACGACCCTCCTAACAACATGCACCTTGATCCCCAAGGTAAAGGTGGCCTCCAAGTCCTTGCTGACTTTCAGGGACCTGGCCCTCTTCCTCCATTCTTGGCCCTTTCCTCTCAGTCTGTCACTACTGTTGGAAACCCACAGTGTCTGTATGTGAGGGTGAAGGGCCCCTCTGTCCACTGGGGGCCTCCTCCCCACCTCCCTGCCTGTGGCCCTTGAGTATCTAGGCTCCCCGCCCAAGTCATCCCTTCCCTGTTGCCCTCCCCTCCTCGTTTCTTCATTCCAGATGTTCTGCCTTTTTCTACTCTTTATTCCTAAACAGCTAGACTCTGGGGCTCAGGACCCCGCTCGGTCTGACCCTACTCCCTGCTGTGCTACTCGCTCTTCTGTTCTTCTGTTGCTTGTCAGCCCATACACCTGCTGGTGCAGGAAATAAAGGACCTGTGTGCTACCAGGCCTGCACTCTGGCATCTTTCTCTGGGAGCGTGTGTGCGTGTGTGTGTGCATTCGTGGGTGCGTGCCGCACATGCAGCTTTTCCTGGGGCAAAGCTGTGGCGAGACAATGAATTTTTGTTAAACACATAACCTAGTCCCATCAACAACCCATGTGGAGTGGCAGGTGATCTGACAAATGGTGTCGGAGGATGAAACAGGCCCAGGCAGATTAAGTGACCCTCCCAAGGGTCCAAGAGCCGGCTTCGGAACTGGGATGTGAACCCGAGCCCTCAGGCATCCTGAGCCCATGCTCAGGCAGCCTCCTGTCCCTATTTTTCTGCCCCAGGGATTCTGGCCTCGTGCCCTGGCTGTGAGGGGTAAGGCACGGGCAAGAGTCGCCCACTGTCTTAGGTGGAGGTCCCTCGGACCTGGAGTCAGACCTGCAACAGCATTTGAAAACAAGTAGTTTGTTTGGAAGCTGATCCAGGAAGCACTCCTGGCTGGGAGCAGGGATGGAGGGGGGTGGGTATTGAGAAGGAAGAAAGCTAAAGGACATGCGAGGCACTGAGGGTTAACCCTACTGGGGAACTCTGGGAACAAGTGTACCCTTTGCATCTCGGGTGTGGCCTGTGGACAGGCGTCATTGGCATCTCCTGGGAGCTTATCAGAAATGCAGATTCTCAGGTCCCACCCCAGACCTATAGAGTCAGACTCTGCACGGTCACAAGGACGCTGGGGAATGCACATGCATGGTAAATTTTGGGACCCACCGAGATGGAGGCCATCTGGGTTATCCCGCCCCAGGGGTGAGGAAGCTGGCCAAGCATCTCCCAGCTGACATTTGTCACTGGCAGCCTTGGGCCTTAATGTCATGCTCTGTGCCCCGTGCGTGGGTAAGGAAAAGGCCGCTGGCAGAAAAATTTTTTTAAAGATTCATTTATTTATTTGAGAGAGAGAGAGCAGGGGGAGGGGCTGAAAGAGAGGGAGAGAGAGAGAAGCAGACTCCTTGCTGAGTGCAGAGGCCCATGACAGCTGAAACCAAGAGTCAGATGCTTTACCGGCTGAGCCTCCCAGGCGCCCCAAGAATATTGATGCTTCTATTGGACCATGGTCAGCACATGCAGGAATGGATACTTTTTTTTTTTAAAGATTTTATTTATTTATTTGACAGATAGAGATCACAAGTAGGCAGAGAGGCAGGGAGAGAGAGAGAGGAGGAAGCAGGCTCCCCGCCGAGCAGAGAGCCCGATGCAGGGCTCGATCCCAGGACCCCGAGATCATGACCTGAGCCGAAGGCAGTGGCTTAACCCATTGAACCTCCCAGGCACCCCAGGAATGGATATTTTTAAACGATTATACTTTTTGTATGTATGTATGTTGCCTCCATGCCCAGCATGGAGCCCAATGTGGGGCTTGAACCCATGACACTAAGATTAAGAGCCGTGTGCTCTACTGACTGAGCCAGCCAGGTGAGGCGCCGCCTTGTGCTCTATTTTTTTTTTAATCTTTGTTTTTTTTAAGATTTTATTTATTTATTTGACAGAGATCACAAGTAGGCAGAGAGGCAGGGAGAGAGAGAGAGGAGGAAGCAGGCTCCCCGCCGAGCAGAGAGCCCGATGTGGGGCTTGATCCCAGGACCCCGAGATCATGACCTGAGCCGAAGGCAGAGGCTTTAACCCACTGAGCCACCCAGGTGCCCCTGCACTGTCTCTTTCACATGGGTGGAAGCGTGATGACATTTGTGTTCTCGGCTGTGGTGGCTCAGGCCCTGTGCATGACAGCTTTTGAATGATCTGGGTGTGCCTCCCTGCCCAGTGCACACACACACTGATAAATGGCAACTTCTAAGCACTGATGCAGACTTGTAAACCAGGCTGTGGATCGTGGTTTTCCGTTTGGGCAGTTGACATCAGCTTAGGCTCGTTTGCTCTTGACCTGTTCTCCTTGCCTAAGATCAATGGGGCTCTTCTTGGCCACCCGTAGGTCTCCAGTTTAGGAGCCCCATAGTTTAAGCTATTGCTGCAAATCCTGTGGGTTAAGGCTGCCTGGTGATTGGGTCCACCTTGCCTCTGATGGTTAAGTGCTGCCTCTTGGTCCCTTCTGCCTTGCAATCCTGTCATCCCTGCTGACACTAAGTAACTTGGGTCCATAGCAGCATCTCCTACGTCAGCCCCGGGCTGCAGAGGACAAGCTCCGCTGAGCTGCTCAACAATGCTTACCTGTCCTCACCAACATGTTCCTTATGTCCTCCAGAAAAGGACTGGTTTTTGGACCCTTACAGGGACCGGAGTCACATGGTGGATGCTCTTGTCTGACATGGCAATTCATTCCAGGGTGACTGCCCATCTTTTGGCTCCTTCCTCGGTCCTCTGCTGGGGCAGTTTGGGCACCTTACTTGCTCCAGACTTTCAGGGAGTCACGCCCAGCAAGGCGTGAAGATGGGCTCCGCGTGTCCTTGCCAGGAGCTGAAAGCCTGAGTCGTGGGAGATGGTCCTCTACTCCTGTATCAACAAACTCTCCCTACCCAGTCCCCAGCCCGCCTCCTCTGTCTGTCAGCCTCGAAAATCCCCTCCTGTGTGCGCTTCCTGGTTCCTTCTGTGACATGTTTTCCGGCTTCTTCAGGACCTGCAGTATTTTGGGTGAATAATCCCGTTTCCGCCATGTTTGGGACTGTGCTTCTGCACAGCCTAAGACTTGACCCTAGTTTTTGGTGTGGAAGCCCTGAAGGGCGGGGGGCGATTGTGAGAAACATCACTTTGCAAGACCTCTGCCTCAAGGAGGTCTGGGCATGGTCTCCAGGGATGGAAAAGCTGCTTTCCTCTGGCAAGGTGGAGACAATTCCTCCAGCCCAGAAGTTTCCTGGAAACCTGGGAGTTTGAAGTTCTTCAGGGCATTTTCTCAAATGTTCCGTGCAAGGTTATCATGGTCCCATGCCTTTCATTCTAGGACTTATGGGGAGACTTGTTGGGGCTCCAATGTCAGCTTCCTTTGTTATCTGACTTCTTACATTCAGATCTTGGGCTTGAGTTAATGGTTGGCTGACCTGAGCCCAACATTTTCTTCCTTCAGAAATCTCTGATGATTAGCGGTAGCCAATGGACACCACAGCCATAATCATCATCACTCTTCTGTCTTGAATGCTGAAGCAATCAGCTACATCAGGGCCCCTATACCCCGTCCCGATGCACCAACAATGAGAATCTTAGCAGTGGGGTTGCCACAGTACTCCAGAGGTGGTCGGCACCCTGCTTAATGCCAGCAAAGTGTCTGGCTAGTGAAGGATCAAATTCCAGAATCCCAAGAAGACAGTGTTGCTTTCTACAACCCTTCTAGGACCACCTGTTTTCAGAGGAGTCCCCCAGCCCAGAGGCAGACTTGGAAATAAGGATTTGAGTTCAGATAGTTTATTTGGAGTGTGGTGATCCCAAAGACCACCGGTGGGAGCGTGTGCGTGCAAGACAGGGAAGGGAGGGCGGTCAACAAAGGGTGCCCTCGAGCAGCTTCCTGCTGTGGGTAAGTGGGGCTCAGTCCTGTGGGGGAATTCTGAGAGACAGAGCTGGATACACCTCAGAGTTACCCTCCCCGAGTGGTGAGGAAGCCGGGGTATTGATCCTCCCGCTCTCTACTGTCACCAACGCAGGGCTCCCTTGGGAGACAATCACTCCAGAGCATTTGCAGCCTGCTTAGCCTTCAGAAAGCCCTCGGGGGAGCAGTGGCACCTGCTTGGGGAAGGATGCTGCTGACAGGCAGAGAACTACGAGGGAATATGGGTGTAGCATTGACAGTGCCTCTGCTGGCCACTCACGTGCCCATCTGATGAGTGTTTATGGGATACCTCCTGTTCTTGGAACCAGGGATACAGCAGAGAAGAGGGACGTGTGGTCCCCACTCTTACAGACTTGCCCTGCTACCTGGGGAGGCAGACAATAAACTAGCTAACAAGACAATGACAGGGTGTGAAGTGTGCTCTGGAGAGCAACGTTAGGGACTGTGGGGCCGTTAGAGGACACTGGGCGCTGTGTATGAGGCGGGAGGAGCAGAACAGGTGGGTCTCTCAGGAAGAGGCGTTTCAGCCAAGACCCCGGGGAGAAAAAGGGCAGCCAGGCATGTGGGTGCCTGGGAAAAGCCTTCGGGGCACAGGGAATGGCGAGGACAGATGTTCTGAGCAGGACCCAGCATGGCGCATTTGTGCAAGGACAAAGGGAGAGAGGAGGAAGGAACAGGGCACCTGCCGTGAGGACAGCAGGCTGGCTTAGGGCTTTGGCAAGTTTAGGTCTTCTCCTAAGTGTGACAGGGAGCTTTGGAGGGTTAAAGCCTGGAGTGGTACAATTTCATCTGTCTTTTAGAAAGCTGACTCTGGTCGCGA